GCCTGCCTGTGGGTTTCCTTCAGTTCTTCCCTCACCCTAGCACTGCCACAGACCCACTGGCTGGACCCACTCCCACTGCAAGGTCCTCTTGTTCCTAGCAAGACCCTGCCATTTTGCCTGGAATGGTGGCACATGCCTGTCACTCCAGCCCTTGGGACGCTGAGGCAGAAGGATTGCTGAGTTTGAGGCCAGCCTAGGCTACATAAGCCCTGCCTCAAAACAACAACAGGGGGGCCTGGCCCTAGCTCAGTTCTTTAAGTGGCTGCTTCCACAAAACAACAACAAACCCTTCCCTGTCGACTGCCTGGCAGTCTCTGGGGAGAGAAGGGCCTTTGAAAACTGCACCCTTGATTGGATAGAGGTGGGAGAAACCACCCTGTTCCAGCTGAGCTTCCTGGGCGCCTCCCGCTCTGCACTTCTGCAATGTCCGTTGCCGGCCAGCTCCCTTGGCAATAACTGGAGGGAATTTCCTGGAGGGCGCAGTTCCCAGGAAATGCAGCCCCACACACCCCGTTTTCCCTTTCTTCTTATGACAAAAGCACTGCCCTGTGAATGGATCCATTTGACCTGGCTTCCCGGGAACAGAGGCAAGTGCCTTGTCCCTACTGCCCTTCCCCAAGGATGCAAGGCTCTGGAGCAAGGAATGGGGCTTTTATAGCCCACCACGGTCCCTGGGGAGGGACCAGGCTCTGCTGGTGGTGCTGTCGATGGCATCACCTCATCTTGTCCCACTGGGTCCAGGCACGTCCAGCACCCCGCCTGAGCACTCGTGGTCTGCGTCATTGAGAGGTTTCCTGGCCCCATTTCCTGTCTTACCCAGCCTGAGTCCCCACCAGGTGGGAGGGGCGGGAGGGGCTTCCCCTGGGCTGGTAGAAAGGCCACCTTGTTTCCCCAGCAGAAAAGGGAGTGGGCAGAGTGGGCAGGTAGGCAGGGGGAGCCCACAGTGTCACTCACACCGGCCATACCCTGGCCACCCTTTCCTGCTTCTTGAAGAGGAAGATGGCTGAGCATGGTGGCACATGCCTGTGACCCCAGCACATGGGAGGCTGAGGCAAGAGGATCGCTGAGTGTCCCAGACCAGCCCAGGTTACATAGTGAATTCAAGGTCAGCCTGAGCTACATAGTGAGATCCTATCTCAAAATTAAAAAAAAAAAAAAAATAAAGAAAAGGGAGATGAGGCCCAGGGTGCCAACCAGGACAGGAGCAGGCTTGCTGAATTCAGAAATTGACAGAGCAGGAAGCTGGCTTGCAGCAGGCGGTTTATTCAGTGTCCAAGTGGTGGCCTCCTCACTAGCCCACCACCCCAGCACTGTGCCTTGGTTTGCCACCTGCCCCCTGCAATGACATTTGGTTTGGTTTTATTTATTTTAAATTGTCTCTTGCTATATAGCCCAGCTGGCCTTGAAGTCAGGGTCTTCCTGCTTCAGCTCCTGAGTACTGGCGTTGTAGGTGTGCCCTGCTGAGCCCCTTCCGATGGTGTTTAAGAGGAGAGAGACTGTGGTTCCACCTTCCGTGTGTAACCCAGAGGCTGCACTTCAGGTTGATGGTTTCTTCTCCGACCCTTGTGCAGGGTGCACTGCCAGGCTGTCAGGCCTCCCCCTGCCTTGAGCGAGGATCTCTGAAGAGAGAGGAGCCAGGGGCAAGAGGCATCGGGCGGAAGCTGTTTTTATTTTTTGGTTGCATTGCTGGGAGTGGAACCCATGGCCATTTGCATGCTAGGAGAGTGCTCTGCCCCTGAGCTACATCCCTAAGGAGTAGGGCTGAGCAGGACATTGTTTTATGTTTTGGCTAGGGAGGGTCTCAAAATGTAGTTCAGCCTGGCCTGGAAGTCTCTAGTCCAGGGTGGCCTCCAAATCATGGCAGTCCTTCTGCCTCAGCTTCCCCAGTGCTGAGATCACAGGCATGTGCCACCATGCTTGGTTTTATTTTTTTTCTCAAACACTGCCAGGGACCCCAGCTTCAGCCATGACTTCCGGCCATCAGTGGAACCTTCCCTGGGTCGGGTCACAGTGTGACCTCCAGGACTCCTCCATAGGCCCAAAAGCAGGGAGAGCCCAGATGGGGGGAGAAAGGGGTCCATACCAACCCCAGGACTTGGCCGGTTTGTTTCTTTCCTTTGGAGAAAGTTGATTTATACAATGTGGTTACGGGGCTTCTCTTTTGGAACACACACACACACACACACACACACACACACACACACATTCACGTGCACGCGTGCACATGTGCTTGGGCTCTGAACAACTTTCTGGGATTTTCCCCACAGCTTCAATTATGGGAATGAGTATAAGAATGAAGTTGTGAAACCCGAGCTGGAGCGCCTTGGCTTTTCCCTCGCCCCTCCCATAAGCCCTCACTACAGCATAGATGCCCCAGGGCACCCTGGGCTCCGCAGGCCCTCTGGCCTCTCTGGGAAGATAAGCTCTAAAGCATGCGCACGCAGTGCTAATACCCTTGGGAGCTGGAGGCTGGGGGCGCTGGGGGGAGGGGCAGGTGTCTGGAGCCAAAGGCCTGAGCTGTGCTGTCCCCAGCCCCCAGTCCTTGGCTGTCCCTGCCTGCCCTGCCTGTCCCCTCTGCAGGCAGCCCCAACCCAGCCCCTGCTGTGCCCAACCCCATGGCCCCATGGCCTTTGGGGTTTTCTCTGCCCCTCAGCATCAGCCTGTTGCTTGCTGAGAGGACCTGGGCTTCCCACCAAGGTGGAACTCGCACCCCAGCCCTTGCCCCCCACACCACCCACCTGGGTTCACTCAGCAGTCACAGCAGTGTTTTGTTCATTGTTCTAGAAGCTTCTACTGTGTTCTGATGCCATGAGCAAAGCACATGTAGCGTAGAGAGGGATGCTGGTGTGGCCCAGCACTAGCGTGTCAGCCAGTAGGTGCCATCCGGTCCTGACAGGTCCCGCTTCTGTATTTGTTTGTTTGCTGGGTCATGCTATGTACCCTAGGCTGTTCTCAAACTCATGGCAATCCTCCTGCCTCAGCCCCCCAGTGCTGGGATACAGGCATGCACCACCACACAGCTGCCCGTGTCAGCGCTCAGGACCTGTCAGTCTGGTGTTGCATCTGCCCACCTCCACCCCCACAGGGCCATCTTTGCTCTAAATCTCACTGCTCTTCGAAGCCTACTTTAACTGCCTTGAGCTGAGTCCCTAATTGTGCAGTCTCCCTCACTCCACCTCCACCCGCCATAAACCTAGAAGGTCCTTTCTCCCTCTGTTCTGAGGGGAACCAATTCTGTATCCTGGCCAAGTGTTTGTGTTTTGGAGGCTGCTTCCTCCCTCCCCATGGGGAGGCTGCCTCTCACTCAAGGGACAAGGCCTGCTGCACAGAGGGGCAAGGAGAGCCAGGTGTAGTGCACGCGCCTGGGATCCCAGCACTCTGGCCGGCTGAGGCAGGAAGATCCCCAGTGTGAGCCCAGCCCAGGCAACTTAGTGAAATCCTGTTTCAAAAAGGGTCAGGCAAGTAGTTCAGTGTCAGGGCCCTGCATCCAGTCCCAAGTATATTAAAAAGAGCAAAACAGTTAAAGCATTCACAGTGGCAAGTCAGTATCCTCAGAAATGGCTGTTATTCTATCCTCCTGGGAGAGGCACAGAGAGGCCACTGCCATTCCTGAGAGGCCATCTGGTTGTCCGAGGGCAGGGGACACCAGTGGGCACAGGGCCTGGCCTGGTTCTGAGCTCCAGCCTTGGAGAACCCCTCCCATCCTCTTCATCCTGGGGGCTGCTTATCTGCCAAGGGCACAGGGCTGCAGCCACCCTCCTTATCTGAGGCATGAGGAGCCCCAAGGGGACCAGGCAAGGAGCCCCGAGTGGGCGTCTGTGCCTGCTGCCGGAGCTCAGATGCCTGGGGCTGGCTGGCCTCCGGATGCTGCCTGTGTCTCATTGCTCTGCACAGGAAGCTGACATCCAGTAAATGAAGGGGCCCAGCAGAGTCCAAGGGAATCACCCTTTGTCCTGTTTTCACCTCTCAAGGGTTCTGCAGTGAGAATGAGAGTAAAAGCTAGGTCTGGTGGTGTACACCTGGGTGTCTATCCCAGCACTCAGGCTGAGGTAGGAGGATTGCTACAAGTTTGAGGCCAGCCTGGGCTAAAAATTGAGTTCAAGGCTACCTTGAAATGTAGAGCAAAACCCTCTTTCAAAAAGACAAAAAAGAAAGAAGAAAAAAAGTTCAATCCCAGCTTGGGCAATTTAGTGATTTAGCAAGACCCTGTTTCAGAGTAAAAAACTTAAGCTGGGCATGGTGGTACACACCTGTAATCCCAGTACTCAAGAGACTGAGGCAGGAAGATCACTGCATGTTTGAGACCAGCCTGGCTACAAAGTGAGCTCAAGACCAGCCTGAACTGTGTAGTGCGGCCCTGTCTCAAAACACAAACAGAAAAAACTAAAAAATTAAAAACAAGTGGGGATATAGCTCAGTGCATAGGCCCTGGGTTTGATCAGTTTGATCCCCAGTACCGAGGAAAAAAGGTGGAGTTGGTGGGGAGGGTGTACAAATGTGCAAATGTTCTTGTCAGCCTGTGCGGGAAGCTAGGACACTGAGGAGGTGCCGTG